TGCAATTTCACTCAAGTTCCAAGTTCTTCCTGAGTTTCCTGTCATATTCAGGGTTTCTACTTTCGTATTGACCGAAACTAGGTATGATGGTCGTAAAAAAATGATACGCGAGATGACATGATAAATGAAACGGGAACTCAGTGCAATTAATTATATCTTTTGTCATGAACAGGGTCTACGATTTTTGTTGTTGTCATAAACAGGGTACCCCTTTCAGAATCCCAGCGGAACACCCCTACCCAAATTCTGGCCGAGTACCCCCCCCCCCCTCCCCCTGGGCGCTTGTGTGGTGGTGAAAACTAGGCTTTCTCACTCATAGTAGATCATATTACTCATTTATAGTAATTAACAATTATTTTTCAACAAGTGATTATTGTTATGGAGGTAAATATTCACTTTAACCCCTGACAGAGGTGAATAATTGTTTTAATATAATTTTAGACTTGAATATCAGAAAAAAGATAAAGTTTGGAATTGCTGCTCTGGCAAACTTTGAAAAACCTTATAACGGATCATTGAATATTTTACCTTGGGTACAGCAGCCTGGAAAATAAAGTCTGTCATGGGTACTGAGAGTGAGTTGACGGCATTGACAGAAATGGTAGATAGACATGGGTTATTAGGGTCTCTCTCAAAACTGAAGTCTATTTTGAGTCCACCTTTTTCGTATGCTGTTAATGGGGGGATTCCTGAAAGAAAATAACAACAATGAATTAGATGTAGCAATAAATCCTTCCCAAGAATCTATAGTGCAGCTTAAGGTGGCTGCCTACTTTTGAACGTTCGATTTGAGGCCACGATGTGCGCGCGCTCAAAAACCACTGAAAAATCTACAAGATCTTATTGAAGAATAATTGAACTGATTGGTTTGACTTAATGCAAAGCACCTATAACTTTAGAGAATGAGAATACTTGAGATCGCAGATGGTTAAAATTCTATTTTTTGCTATTCTAATTTCAAAATTCAATAGGAAAATAATGGGAGGTTCTTGTATAGCACATTTATACAACGTCTCAACGCGCTTTACATTAATGACCAGTGGAGGACTTTACGGGCTGCATATTAAGGCGCTAGTAGCAGCCGTGCGGCTTACGACCAATCAAAGATAAAGAATGAAATTTAAACTTAAAAGAGCTCATTTTTCTACGTAACATAAGTCATCATCGTCACCACCTTTCATCAACACAACCATGTTCACTATCAACATCTTCACAGGCTATGTTTTGCAAGCTTACCTGATGATTGTACAGGCATTTCATTGTTCACTTGCATTGCTGGTTGGCTAGTGTTACCAGGTGATAACAACCCACCACCAGAGAGCAGATTTGGTGCTTGGTTCATGGAAGCTAAGGGAGCCATTGGGTTTAAACCAACTGGGGCTGTGTTCAGAGGAAAATACATACACACAAACTTAATTTAGTATAATGCATGTTTACATTTGGGCAGCCAAAGGCTGATTTAGACAGATAATAGTGAAGCATTTATAAGCACACCAGCTTGCAGACTAATAACTGCAAAGTGTACTGAGGTAGAGTACAAACAATAAAACCCCATTCACACCAAGGCTTAAACATGTTTTAAAGTGGTTTAACTAAAC